GGGGATTTTGAAAAAATCCTGGAATTTTCGAAAATCCCCGGGCACGTGGCAAAGGTGTCGGGGATTTTGACAAAACACACGCACGCGCAACACAGCCGTAGGCGAGTACTGCATTCAAGCGGCCCCGTGTCTAGGTGATTGAGCCCCCCCGTCAGAAAGCGGTGTTCTTCTGGCACTGGGTAGGGGTTCGGGTGCTCTGCAACGAGTTCTCCGACCTTGTCCCCAAAGGCCGGCGGATAGGACCTCAAGCAAAGACTCAAACGAGGGCAAAAGCAAAATTGAAATACAAACGGTTTTCAGACGTACATGTCCAACTTCTTGCTTTACACAAGCATGCGCTGTTTCTCACACATATGAAGCCGCGTTTGCAGCTAAGAAACTGTGTGTTTTTGAGTGAGCTTGTGCCGGAAACCCTGCCATCTGCACAACGCCTTGTCGGGGCTTGCAGCGCCAGCTCCTCCCGCCTACGCTTTGAAACTTCTTTGTGCTCCGCCGTGTACTTCTTGTAAAGTCCCCCGACCCACACCCTAAGACCAGCAAGCTACGGAACATACGTAAACGCAAATGTCACAAAATATGTTTGTTGCACACACGCGCAAGCGACGTGCCAACCGCTTCCCTCACACTGCATCCTAGGCGCCTGTTGGATACGAATGTGCATAACTTCGCACTCCAGTGGGCGTAGGAGCCCAAAAACTGGTTCAGCTGGAATATGCATGCCCGATTGCACACGTGTTCTGCCCTCGGATGCTGATACATGAGACTCGAGCAGGGTTGTTCCATTATGACCGCGCATTTGATCCACAGCCCCACTAGGACGGCCAGCATCGTCCTGCAGGCGAATGAGCGTAAACAAAAACCAAGCACCCTTTTCGCAATTTGCAACCCTAGCACGGGTCCGAGAGACCATGCGATTCGCTGTAGTGACTGGCATCCGGTCGCAAAAGCCCAACACATTGTCTCGACCTGAAGAGTTAAATTGGCTGGCATGAGGTTCGAAAGTACTCAAAAACACACATGCGGCAATTGAGACTGCAACTTGCTAAGGTCCGAGCTGCGTCCACTGCTATGTCGGTTGATCCATACCCAGGATGAACACACCGGAGCAGCCCAAAGAAACCTGCACCAAGCAAAGCGCAAAGTCAACAGACGCGTCGTGCGTGCGCAGTCCTGGGTCCGCGTGGGTCAAGGCATAGGATTGCCACCAGTACTAATCTAAGTGCGTTCGCAAGCGAGTGGGCAGAACAAAGAAATCGCCTTCGGATATTGAGGTCGGGACATCAGTCCGCTGGATGACAGTATGTTGTGGCTGTAGTGGCGTTCGATGTCAAAGCTGGCCATGCGAAAATTCTGCCTTATCATCCCAGCCTGCAAAGCAAACGCGTTGAGTTGGGGCCAAACGACGCACGCCCAGCCTTCACCGCCTCTGCCCCGCTGAACATCTCTACCCCATCAAACTTCGGGGTGAGCGGGATCTCGCTACGCCAGATCCTGCACATAAGCTGCCAGAACATGAGAAAGGAACGCGCGTGCCCAACCCAACTAAGACAGAGGCAGCATCAGAACCAGCAGGATGCCCAGCTTCGGAATTCCAGCATCAAGCATCGACGTGATGAGCGCCTCTACGGCCTCGGCCGGCTGCACCATCAGCCTCAATGAAAATTCGCAGCAACAGTTACTGAGCTAGTGGTCACGCGTGAGAGTCGCAACTGCAACTAGATAAGGACCTGACCCCAAAAGCACGCACGCCAAGCCGCACTTCATGAGCTGCAGACTTCCGGTCGCTGTCTTTAGCCGGGTCAGCGCTAAGGCTAGGGCCAGAGCTAGCAAACATATCGCACGAAGCACTGAAACAAAGCATGCTGTCATATGGCAAAAGCACACGCTTCGTGGCAACATGAAAAGCCGCGCCTTCTGCCACACATGTGCTCGAAGTGTCGTCGCTGGTACCTGCAAGCTCGTGAGTGAGTGATGCAAATGTACGTCGCAATTCAACCGGCATTTTCCCCGTAGCGCAAACCAGCTCTTCACTCCGTAGACGCCAGAAAAGCGCTAGCTAGCGTGAGACACTCTGCACTAATCTCATCTGCAGTCTCCGCGTTGATCTTCCAATACGCGTGAGCCCACCAGGCGTACTGCAAGAAAGCAAAGAGCGAGTGCCCGGTTTTCCGTGCAAATTTGCAATCTGTAAGCTAGGCTCCTGATTCCAACAAATGCCCAACAAACTCGTGCATATTATAGACGTTAACCGAAGGAAATGGAGAGGGACACTTAGGCTAAGGGGGGGGGGATTCTTAAGGGGATGGCTATGCAATTTTGCAACGCGCAGCAGTCCTGAGAGCGCGCAAATTGCCCTGCTAGCGTCGGCTTGATGATCCTCGCAACGCTGTAGTACTCTGCGAGTTGCAGCAAACCAAATGGTTGAGTATGAGTTAATCCAAGCAACGTGTTCCAAGCGTTCCGGATGCCATCAAACTTGTGACATCCTGGGGGGGTTGCCGGACGGTATCGCCTGGCAAACTGCTCCTTGGCTGGTGGCTTGGCTGGTGGCTTGCCCGGGGCTGGCGCAGGGTTCTGGCTCTTGCTGGCGCTTGGTTCGGTTTCAGTCGCTTTGTCATCATCGCGCGGCTTGCTAGGCGCTGCCTTCGGTTTGCTTTTGGGCTTTTGCTTCTGCTTCGGACTGGCTGCCTTTGTTTTGGGCTTTGCCGAAGCGTGCTGCGCCTTAGTTACAGGCTTCAGGCTGCGCAAGCCAAACACAGGAATGCAACTCACACGTGCTACATGCAAGCAAGTGTACATCAGGGTGCACGAAGTTCCGCTCGCTGCGTAAGACTTCCGCCAACTGTTTGTCACCCTCATCATCTTCGATTTCAAGTGGCTCCTCCGAACAGCAACTGAAGACAACGTGTTTCCTAAAAAAACTGCCGCAGGGTGAGAAACATGTCAAATTACACAACTCAGTCCTGACCGAAAAGCGCCTCGCAAGCGGTGCGGTACCTCTCAACGGCCTGCAGGCGCACGCGCGAGCTTTGAAAGGCACAGATCTAGAACATCAAGCCTGCTTCTGCTTTTCATTCTGCTGATTTGGAGGCCTCAGTCGCTGACAAACTTGATTCAAACACTGAGTGCAACTTCCACGCGCCAATCAAACCTAGCGTAAAAGTATTGCAGTTGAGCTACGGGGTTGAGGGCTTTGAGTCTGATGTAGAGCTCGTGGTGCTTTTTGTCTTCTCGGCTGAGTCAGAACTGGTACTGAAAGGAGCTGGCCTTAGTCACGCCCGAAATCTAGTCACTGAAAGCCCTATAAGACCCTCGTGCTAATTAGCTAGCTACAACTCCGGTTCAGCCAAAGGGGCTTTTCCGGGGACGTTTTTTCCAAGATAGTCAGGTCGGCAACATCGCTTTCCGAAGATATGGCCGAAGGAGCCGATGCGTCTGAGTGGCGCTTTCTTTTGCGTAGAATCCTCAGTTTCTACCAGCTATTAAATCTAGTATGTGTGCACTTGCGCAACGCATGCATGCAGTCAGGCACTTTGACTTCAGCAATTCTACGCGCGAGCTATGAGACTTCCTTAGCTGCAGTTGAGCTACGTTGCAAAACTCGCTGGAACCCAATCTGGTTCCCCAAAAAAAGTAAATTTGCACTGTACGCCAAAACACTCCGCGCGACCTTTTAATGTCCTCACCCTTGAACAACACCTCCTGAGCACGCTCGCCACCAGCGCCTTGTGCACGCTGCTGAGATTTGGGGCGCAGAGGCTTACCTGAGCAAGCGCAGATCGAAATCAACTGCTTTTGAGCTAATCTATCTAAAGCAGTCTATAGCCAAGAGTCCGTGGCCTCAAAAGTGCTCAAGGCTGGAGTCTGTGCAACCCCAAGGTCTCCTTAGCAACTGAAAACGTTTGTAAAAGCCAAAGCCGAGGAAAGTTCATGAGCAAATTCCGCTAAAAGTCTCAGGACATCGAGGCAAACGCCAACTGCAGAGAACGTAGTGTTCTCTATGTACTCCAAGGGGATCGCTCTGTTCAGCACCTAAGCCGGGGTTACGCAAATCTCGCAGCACATAGCGACATGCCCATTAGCAGGTGAAGCACTAGCAGCCAAACCCATCAATGGCCGCAAGGAGTTCGCCATTCCAGCTGCTATTGCTGCAACTGCCTGGAGTCAAGGTCTGCTCCCCCCAACTTGCTCCAGCGCTTTCAAAAGCACTGGCCTGAGAGTCCTCATGAAGGGTGCCATGGGTGCCATTTGCGTCCTGCAAACGAGTTGGCTGCCACTAACAAACGAAGGAAACAATTCAAAATACTGGTTTCACGCGTCTGCTTGACTGCAATTCGGTCCTGTGTGGGCTCGGCAGAGGAGGCCATGGGGTGCACGAGCAAACTTGAAAATGCCCTACCTGCAAGTTTCATCGCACTAGCCGCGAGATCGATCCAGAAGCGCTTTTCCCAAATTAATATTGCAAGGTATATGAAAGCTGCAGCTTGTTTGTTCGCCATCGGTCGAGCCGCAGCACTGCACGCAAAGCATAGTAACCGGGTACGCGTAAACATCTTGACCGGGCCGTGTTTCGTTGTGTCTTCTAATCGTAGTCCTTTTTGCGCAATCTATACCTGAATCCTGCATTTTTTCAGCAAAAGTGTGGCTAAAAAATGCTAAAAACATGGTTGGGGCAAGAAAGCCGTCTTGGTCAATCGCCGTTGGTTTCGCCGTCGTGGGCCGGAATGTTTCACCAGGGTAAAAATTGAAAAGTGCCTGGGGACGCAAGCTTGCTCCCGCACGGGAAGGAAAACACATACTTTGGAAGATCCAGGAACCTATGGCAGACCCAAAGCAAACTCTTTCATTTCGCTTGTACCCACGCAATTTAATCTGGGCCGGGGCGGTCGACAACGGGTGTAACACCAAAGCAAGCTCACGACACTCGTGTGGCACAAGGGCGCACGCGACTCAACCAGCTGCTTCAGCAGGCGGTTTGCGCCAAGCTGGCGCCCCATGCCATGTCTGAGCCTAGGAAGCTGTTTTCTCCCCCCAAGTTATGGGCAACATTGTGCGTGAGTGCCTGTGATTCGAATGCTAAGTTGGAGCTACTTGTTTGCTGCTGTTGCTTTCTCGAACCTGGCCATCTACTAGTCTTAAATATCAGAACCCATGCGTTGAGCCGCTGACGAAGAATGAACGTGGCTGTCGCTTGCCAACCTCAAAGAATGCACCTGGCAGCACACACGTCGGGCACCCAGACTATCGCCCAGAAATTTATTATCTAAATTAAACTGAGGGTACCCCAAAATTGCGCAAGAGTTCTGGCAATGTATTTATCTATTGTGTATATGTTTTTATATGTATATGCAACGCATCATATGTTGAAAATTCTGTATATGTGTATGTAGTTTCTAGGGCTGATCCAGCAGGGCGCCAAACATAGCACGAAAAACACGTCATTTAAGCAAAAACACGTCACCGTCAATTTTCTCCACAGAAATCAAGCACCGTCATAGTTTTCGCACACGTCAAAGAAAAAAGACGACAATTGGACGTCCAGGTACCTGGGCGACCTCTGCAAGTTTGGCAAGACGGATTGGCGCCGCGCCTTGCGACGCAGGCTGATTCTCCGTGGCTTCCCGACCGAGGAGGTCAAGTCGTTCGCCCTCAACTTCTGCTTTGTTTACTGTCTGCCCCGCGAGCTGCGGCCCGACCAGCACCTGCAAGAAAACAGCGACAACGAGGTCCAGGACGAGCCCGTGTTCTTCGACGAGGCGGACTTAGAAGCAGCGCGAGCCACGCACGTCCGCGGCGCAGGCAAGCTGGGCTCGGGCGACGCGGGCGACAACGGGGAGGAAGACGGCGAGGTGGAAGACGAAGCCGCGGCCACGCGGCTGTGCGTCATGACCAAGCAGATGTTCGACCTGTCTCGGGCCGCCTGGAAGACGGGCGGGACGGCGAGCGCCTTGCCCGGCCCAAGAAGAGCGCAGCCCGGGCCTGCTCGGCCCGAAGACGAGGAGCTGGACCACGACGCTATCGCCCAGGCCGCCCGCGCGTCGCGGGGCAAGTCCAGGCTGCCGTTGCTCCCGGGCATCGGCGTGGCCCCGCGGGATCCCGAAGCGCAACCGCTTGGGCCGCGCCTGACCGCGGACGGGCTGCTTGGCTGGCTCGGCAGCGAGCACGTCCAGAGCGGCTTGAACGCCAAGCAACTGGAGCTGCTGCGGGTGGTGGTGGAGAGGGTTCTGGCTGAGCTAGAGCTGGTGCCGCCGGACCACGAGATCGCTCTGCGGCGGGCTGAGCCCCTGGCCTGGCTTCTGCACGGCCCACCGGGCACTGGAAAGTCTCACGTCTTGAAGTTCTTGTGGGAGTTGTTCGAGGAGCAACTTGGCTACGCGCAGGGGATCGACTACGAGGCGCGCGCGAGTTCCGGCTTGCTGCTTTGCCGCGGCCGCCTCGCCAAGTCGTTTCGCGGCAGGTGGCGCTGCGGGCGGTGGTCCCGTCGGCCAGCCAGTGGAAGCGCGGCGTGGCCGGGGAGTCGCGGCCTTTTGCGGGCGTCAACGTGCTGCTGCTTGGCGACTTCTACCAGCTGCCGCCGCCGAGCGGCGGCTACCTTGCGGACGTGCCCAGCAGCCGGCGGCCGCCGCGGCTGAGCGCGGCCGCCGACGCCGAGCCGGACCTTTTGGCGGACTACGGCAGAAACTTGGTGTGGGGCGGCGCCTTGCAGGGCGTGACGGAGCTGGAGGAGCGCGAGCGCTGCAAGGACAACTGGTGGAACGAGGTCGTGGATGAGCTGCGGTGCGGCGAGCTGTCGGAGGAGAACTGGCGCTATCTCCATGGCAAGCCCGTCGAAGGTTGCCGGCTGACCGCGGCAGAGCGCGAGTCCCGGCGCCGGGTCATTGCGGGGCCGGGCGACCCGCGCTTGGGAGAAGAGAAGTTCCGGTGGGCGGCGGCCATTGTTGCCAACAACCACGCCAAATACCAGATCAACAAGGACCGCGCCGAGGACTACAGCCGCGCGGCCGAGTCGCCGCTCCGCTGGTCTGTGGCCCTGGACGCGCCGTCCGCCGAGGTTCTGCAGACGCAGGCGCGGGGGGGAGCGGGAGAAAAAGTTCAGGGCGCGAGGGGAGCTTCTCTGCGGGTGCAGGAGTGCGACAAGGCCGCGCGGGTCCGGTGGCTCCAGTATCACGACCGGGACACCGAGAACCTCTCCGGCATGCTGCCGCTGGCCGTCGGGATGTGCGTGGTCTTGGCCGACCACCTCGATCGCGCCGAGGACAAGCTCCTCCTCCGAGGCAGCGCCGGCCGCATCCACTCCTGGGTCTGGAAGGAGAACGACCTGCGGCCGACCTGCGTCTATGTGAAGTTTGACGGGGCAACCTGGCAGCTCGACGGAGCGCCAGAGCCGGGCCTCTACCCCGTCTACTCCGCCCGCAAGGTCTGGAAGCTGGACGCCAAGCGCAAGAAGCCGGTGCTCAAGATCGCGCGGACGCAGCTGCCGCTGGCCCCGGCCTACGCGATCACGGCCCACGGCAGCCAGGGCAAGACGCTCCCCGCGGCGCTGGTGGACTTCAACGTGGACAAGCGGACCGACGTGACCTTCGGGACCGTGGCTGCGAGCAGGGTCCGTTCCAGGGAGGACGTCTTGATCTTGAGGCGCGCGCGGGAAAGAGGGAAGGGGGGCGCGGGGGAAAGAAAAGCGGGGCGTTTGCGGCAGGCCCTTCGAGCGCTGGCTCTACACCCGCGGCGCGCCGGAGGGCCCGGCGCTCCTGCTGAAACAACTGCGGGGCGAGGAGGTGGACTGGGAAGCCTTCAGGGAGGCAAAGGCGCCCTCTGCGGCCTGCGAGAAATGCAAAGATGTGAAGACGCTGGACTACTTCTCCGACCGCCAGTGGGAGCGAGTCCGAGCCAACCGTTCGGCCATTTGCCTTGCCTGCGGCCCAAGCAAGGGCGGCCAGAAGACGCTGAAGCGGAAGCTGCCGTCTGGCCTGGCGCGCTTGGACTGCCGCGGGTGTAAGTTCCGGAAGCTAGAGGACGCTTTCCCGCGGGCCCAGCTCCATCAAGGCGACTCTGAGGCCGCGCGCCGCTGCCTGAAGTGTTTGAAGGAAGTTGACATTTTGGAGTGCTCCGTCTGCGAAAGCACGAAGCAGATCTCCGAATTCAGCAGCGCGATGGCGACCATGCCGTGGGCGGCGGTTTGCGCTGATTGCGCGGCCGACGTGAGAAGGCAGCCTAAGTGGGGCCGCGCCGGTTGGTTCACTTGCCGGACTTGCGACTTATTCTTTCCGGGAGCCGGCGCTGCGGAGCACGACGTCCTCCCCTCGTCGGCCCGCAGCCAGCGCTGCTTGAATTGCGCTTCGCGCGGCTCCTGGGCTAAGGGCAAGAGCACATGCCGCAAATGCGGCGGCGCGTGGAGCGAGCCACGCGGGCAAGGGAGCGACAAGCGCCAAAGGCTTTGCCCAAAGTGCAGACCGAAAGCAAGTCGCGCGAAGCGCGCGTGATAAGTGATCGCGGCTCTCGGGGCAAAAAGCTAGCTCGAGGTGCCCGATGAAAGAGGGCGGGCGGGGAGAAGGGAGAGCGTGACGGAGAAGGTCTGAGCGATTTTTCGTGGGGCCTTGAGCCGCGGGCCTGGCTCGACGCGCGCGGGCTCAAGGGGGCTCCAGGGACGCTCTCGCTCTCTTCCGCGCCCGAACTACTCAGGACTCGGGAGCCGCGAGCTGCGAGCTTGCTCGCGTTCGCCTTTCCCGCTCGTCGGCGTCAGGAGCTGCACTGCTGGGGAAGCGCCCCGGAGCTCTGGCGCAAATCCTAAAACTTGAAAATCGAAATCCTTCGAAGTTCAGGGTTTGGGGTTCGCGGGACTCGGCGTTTGGGATTTCGGGCGCCCAGGGTTTAGGGCTTAGGATTTTTGAGGTTTGGGGCGCGGGCCTCAGGATTTCGAAGGTTCGGGGTTTAGGATTCCCAAGGCGCCCGTAGACCATTTCATCGCCCGTAGACCATTTTATCGCCCCCCATGGCCGTTTTATTGCCCCCAATGGCCGTTTTATCAAGCGAAGGCAGCCCGTAGACCATTTTATCGCCCGTAGACCATTCTATCGCCGTTTTATCAAGCCAAGGCAAGCCCGTAAACCATTTTATCACGCCCGTAGACCATTTTAGCGCCCCCAAGGGCCGTTTTATCAAGCCAAGGCAGCCCGTAGACCATTTTATCGCCCGTAGACCATTTTATCTAAAAGAGACCAGGGCGCACCCCCCCTATAGAGCAAAGTGATTCGCTGTTTTTGTTTTTCCTGGGATTCGAAGGCCTTCTTCTTGGGCGCCAAGCTGTGTTGGCGAACCCTAAACCCTAAACCCTAAACCCTAAACCCTAAACCCTAAACCCTAAACTCAATTCTAACTTCTAAGTATATATTTAAGAGTTGGTCGATAATGTGTCGGGTCTTCCCGAGGCTTCGTTTTCGGCTCTGCGCGCTTCCCACAGGCTGCTAAATCTGCCTCGCCGCTCAAATCCAAGATCGGGGCTAAAATCGCAAAATTTGCCACGCGCTAAATTTGCGCGCTTTTCCGGCTGGGGCCTTGCGGCCGCAGTTCAGCCGCGGGCGCTCCGGGGCCCCACCGCGGGGCTGGTGGCCTAGTGGTCTTGCGTCCGTCTCTGAAGCGGGTGGTCCCGGGCTCGGTTCCCCCCTGGCGCGCGCCTTGTTTTGCGTGGCCGTGTCGTGGTTTCTGGCTGCCGGGAGTTTTTTCGTGGCTGCGCCGTGGATTTCTGCTTCCAGCCGCTCGAAATCGTGGGGCTGCTTCTCAATTCGCTTCGCTCAGCCATCGCGCGGTTCTTTCCCCTAGTACAGTTCATGCTACAAAAATCTACTTTTGAAGCTTTTTCCTGCACGTCGAGACAAGCAGCTCCGGCCGGCTGCTTCTCAATTCGCTTCTCGCTCAGCCATCGCGGTTCTTTCCCCTAGTACAGTTCATGCTACAAAAATCTACTTTTGAAGCTTTTTCCTGCACGTCGAGACAAGCAGCTCCGGCCGACGACGTAGTCCGGCGGCACGCGGATTTTCTTCAATGCTCAAATCGCTCGGCCTTTCTGTGCGGCTTCGCGCAGTCGAGACGGCGTTCTTTGATGTCGGCCCAACTTGTTGCCTTTGCTTTTCCTCTGGCGAGGAACTTCGCGACGGGTCGCTTGCCGCTTGTTCCTCGTTGCTCGCTGCTTGCTGCCCGCCACCCGCGCGCACGGCTGCTGCTGCTCGCACCTTTTGCCAGTCGCCGCGCGCGGTTGTTCTTGCCGCATGATTTCCACCGCGCGCCCCCAAATTCGGTTTTCTAAGTTGCGCCGGCAACTTGTTGAGGCTGGCCCTTGGTAATGGGATCTGGGTGGGTGGGATTGAGATCGAAGCTTTAGATGATCTTTGCTTTGAAAAATCCCACGTCTTGAAGTCTTTGAACCCTAAACCCTAAACCCTAAACCCTAAACCCTAAACCCTAAACCCTAAACCCTAAACAGGCGAGCATGCCTTTGGCCATATACATGGGCATGCGAGCCTCCGGGCTCGAGGTCAAGCCGAGACGCCGTTGCAAACCTGAGGGCCCGCTAGGGTCAAGCCTAGCAGGACAACCGCTGTGCGGCTCTGCAAGTGGCACGACGACCCACACCCTTTGGCGCAGCCAATATAGGATTACCCTAAAGCCTGCACCATTTGGCTCCGGGGTCGCTTTGTGCGCTGCTGATAACTTTTGCATACGGGTAATAGCGGGGCCTGCCCCGGCTGGGGGGGGGTACACGGCGGGCCGCTTCTTGCGCCGCTGATAACTTTTGCATACGGGTAATATGGGGACCTGCCCCGGATGGGGGGGGGTGTACGCCAAGCACAAGAGCCTTGCGGATCCCTTCTTGCGCTGTTAATACCTTTTGCGCACGGGTAACACGGGGGACTTGCCCCAGCTGGCGGGAGCGCACGCCGAGCACAAGGACCCTTGTCGATCTCGCTTCTCGCGCTGCTGATTTCCTTGTTTCAGACGAAGCGGCGAAGCTTGCGCGCAGGGCATCCCCACACAAGCGCAGCGCCTGACACGCTCAGTTCTGCGGCTTCCTTGCGCGCTTAGCCCGCGCGTGTTTGGGCCGCCGATCTTCGCGCCTTGGCAACTCCACGCTTTGCAGCGTGCCCCACAGAAGCAACACCTTGCGGGCGCTGAGGATTATGTAGACGCCGTCTACATGGCGCTTGCCGCTGCAGCCCACGCCCGGCAAACGCAGCAGGATCAGGTAGCCTGCGCAAGCCTGGGCAACTCCACGCGCTCTGTCGTCCGCCCGCCGCGCGGACGCTGAGGATTATGTAGACGCCATCCACATGGCACTTGCCGCCGCAGCCTGCGCCCAGGCCAGCGCAGCGCGCAACGCGCTCGCGTGAAACCTGCCACCTACGCAAGCTGGGCAACTCGAAAAAGGACCAGCGCTTGACCCACAGAAGCAACACCTTGCGGGCGCTGAGGATTATGTAGACACCGTCTACATGGTGCTTGCCGCCGCAGCCCACGCCCGGCAAACGCAGCACCTGGGCAACTCCACGCGCTCTGTCGTCCGCCCGCCGTGCGGACGCTGCAGATTATGTAGACGCCGTCTACATGGTACTTGCCGCCGCAGCCTGCACCCAGGCCAGCGCAGCACGCAACGCGCTCGCGTGGAACCTGCGGCCTACGCAAGCTGGGCAACTCGAAAAAGGACCAGCGCTTCGCAGCGCGACCCACGCCTGCGCAGGCTAGAAGTTTAGCAAGGCAGGCAGCTGGCAGCCCAGCTGCTTCAGACAGCGCCACGTTGGCATGGAGCCCGTTCAAGGGTTCCACCTCGAATGGAACCCTAAACCCTAAAAGTCTTTACCTTGGGTGGCTGGGGCGGGCGAACTTGGCTACGCGAAGCGAGCGGCTTGGGGGATTTTATCCCCAAGCGAGCAACCACATCTGCACACCCTAAACCCTAAACCCTAAACCCTAAACCCTAAACCCTAAACTTAAAGCTCGCGACGACTTACCGCTCGCTTAGAGCGACATGGAGTCGTGAGCGCACGGCGCACTTAGCGCCCGGGCAATAGCTCCAAGCTATTGCCGATAAATCGCCAGCAGCTATGCAGCTGCCCCAAGGGCCTCCCTTCTCTTGGGACCGTGCCTGCAGGCACATAATATGCGAAGCAATATTATATTACCCTAAAACCTAGGTCCTAGACCCTAACCTGGCCTTGAAGACCGCCCAAGCTCCCCTTGATAAAACGGCCATCGGCCTTGATAAAACGGCCATTGGCCTTGATAAAATGGCCATTGGCCTTGATAGAATGGCCACTGGCCTTCCTAACTTAAAGTGGCCACGGGAGCTGGCCTTGACGTGGCCGGCCGGCCGTTGAAAACTGCTTGCGCGGCGTCGTAGCGGATTGGACCTCTGAGGGGCCAGCTTTGATAAGCCGCTGCACGCGGCGACCCTTGACCTTTCTGATGAAATGGACCGTTGCCAAGCGCGCCCGCGACAAATGGCTCACGCTATGGAGCCGCGTTTGATGAAATAGCCATTGGACCATTGGACTTGACTTCCCGGGGGCTTTTGAGAGCTTGGGGAAGCTCTTTCACAGCGCGCCCGCAACGAAATCGTTGAAGCCGCGGCCTGCGCTATGGATCCCAACGCTCGCGATGAAATTGCAGAAGCCGTGCCCTGAGCGACGGCCCCTAACTGCCCCGTCGCTGCAGCCGCGCGCGCTTCCAACGCAGCCAGCGAGCGAAAGGCTGACGGCCTGTTGCAAGCCTCTTCGTCCAACGCAGCAACCTTTGGGCTCCACCGCGGGGAACGTTTCTGCAACTCCTAGCGATGAAATTGCTGCGGCCTGCGCCTCAACTATGGCCCAACGCTCGCTTGAAGACGTTACAGCCGTCAGCCCTTGCCGTCGCAAGCAGAGCAGAACGCCCACGCAATTTGGCCAACGCGCGACTGCCCCAGTCGCAGTGAAGCTTTGGGCCCAAGCCGTCGCAGCTGTAACTTTCCAGCTGAGCGCTCGGCTCGCGTTAGCGATGAAATCGCTGCAGCCTTGGCTTGAACTATCCCCCGCCCTTGCTCGCGGCAAAAAATCGCTACAGCCAGCCGTCAGCCCCCCTCACCTGCGCAAGCCTCAACGCCCGCGTCTCCTTATGAGCGGTGTGAATCGGCCAATCAACGGGCCTCGCGACTCTTTGAGCTCAAGCCGTTGCATAATAAGACGCGAGTTTCAAGCGGCTTGTTGTCTTCGCGCGATCAAGCGCTTCCCTTATCGCTCGCCCTGCCGGGGTCCAAATTAAAACCCTAAACCCTAAAAGATTTGTCTCTGGGCGGTATTGGGGTGGGTTGAAGCAGCCGCCTCGGCGCGCCGCCCCGCGACCCTCTGGGTCGAGGCGCGCCGCTTCGAGGTCAAACCCTAAACCCTAAACCCTAAACCCTAAACCCTAAACCCTAAACCCCTAAACCCCTAAACCCCTAAACCCCTAAACCCCTAAA